TAGTTAAGATTCTACGATTTGCAATCCTATCATCAAAGCTCTGATCTGATTCAAAATCACAATTTTGAGTACCTTGTTACGTAGTTATGGTTAGGTTTGTGTCTCCTCCGATGGATGGAGGCGACGGTGGTTTGAATAAGAACTCCCCAGTTCTAGCTCCATCTCTAGCTCTCGGTGATGCATTGAGACGTGAGGTCAAGGGGTATGTCAGCTTTGTCTTCGAGTGCACCCTTGAGAACAATGTTTTGGTGTGCCTTGGTGTTGCTAGCGACGTGCCAGTGGTGGCGGCAACATCTAGGGTATTTGCTCTCTGGCTCGGACCTTGCTTCAATGTCAACTTTTCGAGTTGATGAGCATCATTTTGGGCAGCACTATAGGCGGGTAGTTGGCGGCCGGATCCTTCACCGCTCTAATGCCAGCTTCACCTTCAGGGCGCTGGTCTGCTTGGACGCTAGCCTCGACGACTCCTAGCCGGCAAGCAACAAGGTCGGACCCGCTCCAGCAGCGGCGCGCCATCGGATCCTTTCGGAGGTAGAAGGTGCTCCGCTCCCCAAGGGCCTAGATATAATTTATTGTTTGTTTGTTTTCCAGGGTGATTTGTAATGATGGAGTTTGGTTAAGGGATCTGGTGGCCTTTTACAAAAATTAAAGAAAATGAAATATAACATGTATAGTTCTCATCTCCTTGCATTGAAGGTTCCTTTGAGTAAGCTTGTTTCATTTATTTTCCTCTTTGCCAATAAATACGATTAACAATGAAATGGGCAAAGCCATGGCTTTGTTAAAATATAAAAATTGAAATATTAAGTAGCAGTACAAGTTAAATATGCAGAGGCACGCGTGCACGCAAATCATATTTTGGTTCCTTAAAAGGTTGAATCTCTCAACGAGATCTGCACGCGGCCATGTGGTGGATGGTGATTGAATGATCGATGAGTCAGTTAAGCTAAGCAACCGCCATCGCTATCAAATCCCTTTATCTCTTTCTATGATTACTCTGAACAGGTCAGCTCACCGATCAATCCAAGAACACAGGGAAAGTGTGGCAATCATCATAGCCGCATTTGTAAGGCATGGATACCCATACGCATGTGCATGCTTTTCTTGCGGCATCAAGCAGAGTCCGAGTGATGTATACAGTGATTTGGTAGCTATATACAGTATATTTTACAGAAAACTTGTAAGCCAACAAAGATTGCAATGCATCTTAGCTAGCTGTAAAAAAAATTTGGCCTGTTGGTGATTAATTAAACGTGGATGTGGGTTGCAAGTTGACTAATCCGTTCCCTTGTGAAACGGCCAACACCATAAAATTATGAAATTATTTTAACCTAACTGAACTTTTCGATTAGAAAAAGAAAAGGTGAGCTCGATCGTCAGGAAACGCCTCTGCAGTTTCTTGCCGGCGGTTTCTCACCATTCCCATGCACCTGCTGCTAAGGATAGCAGTTCTTATCGTCACGCCATGGACGATGGGATTAGGAACGACCGTGCGTGCGTGTCACGACGTTGGCATGAACAATTATTCTGCACGTCGGTCGAATAATGCGCAAGTACGCAAGAGAGAGGAGCATGCATACCTCTGTGTCGTCGGCGCAGCCGTCGCCCACCGCGCCGTAGCTGTCGACCTTCACGACGTTCCTCTTCGTCTTCTTCTTCTTGTTCGGATTCGGGCATCTCGTCACCCCCAGCATAATGCCATCTTCCCCCTCCTCCTCCTCCACCATCTCTTCGACCTTTTCGTCGTCGTAGATATCACCATAATCATCGTCGTCATCACCGTACCATCTGAGGTGGTCTTCCTCGTCCCCGCCGCCTCCGTCCGTCCACAGCTTCAAGAACCTCTTCTCAAAAGCCTCGTCCTCGCCGGCATCGACACCATCGGCAACGTCGCTTCCCTCGGCCGCAGCCACCCTCGCCATGGCCATGAACACCAACACCAGCACCAGCACCAAGAACAACGGCACTGCCCTCATGCCACTCCTCCTCCCTCGCCCCATTTCGACCTACACGGTCGATCGAGCCGCGCGCTCTAATGGCGCAAGCTAGGGGCAGCTAAAGATCGTGCGCATGCGTGCGTGTGTGCGCGCCTTGGCTTGGCTTACAAGGGTTCGTACCTGCGACAATTTATAGTGGGAGGAGCAAAGCATGAGGAGAGGGAGGAGGCGTGGTGTGCTCGATGGTCGTTTCTCCTCTGGACTTGAAGTGCAAGTGAATGATAGCGGTGTGAGACAGGGCGAGGTGTGGTTTATGCTTTACTCATCCCCTGCAAAAGGTGGCTCACTATGCATGTATATATCCATCCTTCTTGTACTAGTACATTTCATGGGCATGCTCCTACCGTGAAGTGATTAAACAATGCTACACACGTCAAGGAAGAGGTTATCATTGGCTCAAAGGTTGATTAGCTAAGTTGTAGTTCCAATCGTGAGAGGAGGACAAGTCATAGCTAACTATTTCTTGCGAGAACTACTAGATGGATCCATCCATGGCCCTCTTTTGGAGAGGATTAGGGGACCTTTTGGATTGTCTTTACATTAACGTTGATAGCTTACGACATGCTTAATCAATCATTCTTGCACTCCTCATGTATCAAAGTGATACCATAGCAGGTTTGGAAGTTTAACGTTGATAGTTTATAATTTTCTTAAGATTATTGTGTGCTCCCCGCAAAAAATAAATAAATAATATTGTGTGTGTGTGTGTTGTTCGATTTGTGGTAGAGCGACCAACGTGTATTTTTTTCCTATAGGCTCTTTTGAAGTCTGTCAAATTTGATTTGAAAATCTTCATCGCCTCACAGTCACATGTACATATTAGAATAATCACATGGCTCGCTTATGAGTAGCATTCGAAAAGCATGATAGTAAAATCATAATCGTAGGATTTTAGAGACTCTACGCAGATGGCTCTCATTAACCACGGCCACCTGGCTGCATAGCACCAACATTTCATGATTAGCGGTTGATGATGTAGCTCCACGATTGGATTCTCGCAATCAAGCCTGGTAGCGTCTCCCGCCCCATTTGCAGTCCACTCCAATCCTTCCAAGAGCCGGCCAAATGATTGCAAGGAATAGCGGACAAAGATGACAGTTATCCATCCCATTTTTATTTCCAAATCTTTTTCTCTTCTTCTCTTTCAATAAAAAAAAAATCAGTCGAGAGGAGATGCCAAGTGGCAATGAAAAACCACCGGGGGCTCCCTGATCCGCAAATTTGCATTCCGATCCCAGACGACCTTATTTTCGACCAGAGGGGCGAGGCTCACCCTGAATCACGACAAAATAGTAATTCCTCTGTTCACTTTTATAAGACGTTTTAGACAATTCAGACAGTGTCCAAAACAGTTCAAAGCTAGCTGTCCAAAACGTCTTATAATAATGAACGGAGGGAGTAAAACCGTTCTTCGATTGGCCCTTTTATAAGACGCTGCATTTGGATGATCAATCTTATTTTCGATCAGAGGGGTGAGATTCACCCTGAATCATGACAAAATAGAAAAACCGTTCTTCGATTTGCCCTTTTAGAAGACACTGCATTTGGATCATCGATCTTATTTTCGATCAGAGGGGGAAGATTCACCCTGAATCATGACAAAATAGTAAAACCGTTCTTCAATTGGCCCTTTTATAAGACGCTGCATTTGGATGATCCATCACATGCAGGGACGAAACTTTACCCAAAGATAGACCCGGGCGGCAATCATGAGCCGCACCGGCACCGTTTGGTTTTGCAGCCCACGCACCGGCGGTGCCATGGTGGCCTGATCAGGGAAAGATGCCCTGAGACGCACTCGTCCGTTGCGTTGGGCGTTGGCAAACCCAGCAGCAGCAGCACGTTGCGTTGCGTGTGCGTGCCTGCTGGCCTTTTGCTGCTCATGTCTTTGTTTCTCCTGTAACGGACTGCGGCCCTCATCATGGATTACATGGTGCCTCTGCTCACATTTGGCTCCTTTCTTTTGTTTCTGCATCAAGAAGAGATGTATTCGGCCATACGATCATTATCTTCCAAAACTGTCCTGTGGAACATGATGATGTCGCCGCCACAATGTTGGCAGGCTGGTTATTACCTCCGTCGAGATGGTCTGGAGTACGTTTGGAACGAAGGAATTTCGCAACAATCTGCTCATCTCTCGCTGGGTCCAGGAAAATTTTGATCGTTCCAGACCGGACCAACAATCTATGTCCACCACCAAAACTTTAGGACTACAGCTTGCTAGGTGCAAACCAAAGGCAGAATCATGGAGGGAGAGGGGCGGATTGACTATATGTACCGGAGTCATAACACCACTGTCCAATTCGAAACACACAGGATTGATGCTAGGACATGTTGATCTCAACGCTACCGCTCTTGGGGTACTGACAGACAGGGCATGCATCTGTGACCCTATCGCAGTCGGCGCACAGGCACAGGTGGCGGCAAGGCATCACCAGCACTGCCGCCTCCTTCGCTCCGCACCACTTGCAGGCTGCAAGCCCACTGCCGGCTACGCCGCTCTTGACTCCAGGGAGGAGGCTCGACTTGAAGAAGCCTCCGGGGACAGTGTTGATGTTCTTCTGGCCGAGCACAGCGCCGCTCTCCACTACGCTGTCGCCGCAACCTTCCCTGGTGCGGTTGGCGTGGTCCGCCACCACTTTCATGAGCTGGGTCTTCAGGGTGCTGGCAACAGATTCGTTGTAGAGCGCGGCTGACTGCCATGACTGGACCTGGATGGCCACCTGTCGGATCTGTTCATTCAGCTCCTGGCTTTTTTTGTTCATGGCCTCCACCTCGAGCTCCTTCTCCCTCAGCTTCTTTCCTACCCCTCTTTCGAGAGTAGACACGAGAGAAACCATCTGCCTTTGCTTCATCTCTTTCACACGCCTACTGAGTTGTTCCACCTGTGGGAAAGAGGCACACAACATAAACACCAGAAATCTCTGACTCATTTTATTTACTTTCAAGTTTCAACAATCAGAACCAAATGATGTGTTAGCTACCAGAGCCTATGACACCGGGATCACTAAGGACTGCATATACTATTACAATAAGGAACCAGCAAATTATCTTCCATATTCTTGCAATCACACCCTAGACAGTTAAGATTAACAGATACTCCCTCCATTCCACAATGTAGTGCCTATAGATTTTTGTGAAAGTCAAACTTTGCCAACTTTGACCAAGTGTATAGAGAAAACTATGTACATCTACAATACCAAACATGTATATTCTGAAAATATAACTCACGATGTATTCAATCATGTGCATTTGGTATTCTAGATTTATCTACTTTTCTCTATAAACATGGTCAAAGTTTGTAATGTTTGACTTTTGTAAAAATCTACAGGCACTACATTATGGAACGGAGGGAGTACTGAATTTCTATATGGACAAATATAACAAAAGTAGGATGACTGTAAAGTCTGAAATATGTCAATATACTTTATATTTGGCAATCAGGAAGTGCGAAGAACAACCATTTCCATGGTTAGGAAGTGGTACATAGTGATGCCACCGGAAACTACAGAATCATATTTGGATAACTCAACATTCCACACTACTGCACTGCATAGTGCTTCCATGATGAACACAAGCAAGTCCTAACAGCAAATATCACCATTGCTATCTAGGCAACAACGAGAGCTCAAATTTGGTTGATAGCTAAATTAGGATAAATATTTACCTGGCTTCTCAAATAATAGTCAATCTCTTTGTTTCCTTTCTCCATTTCAGTCATAATATCATGACCAAAAGGCGTCGTGGAAGTCAAAGAAGACATGCTTCCACTACCAGACGTGAAGGAAGAATTATGCTCATTATCCTCGTAGGACAGTTTCAGCCCAGTAGACACAACACTTGAATTACCAGTACATGCCAACCGGTCGGCATCTCCTGCATGAAAGTTGTTCAAGGACATCTGAAGCTTGAGCTTCTTTTCATCCGCTGCACAATTGCTTGTCTTTCTTGGTTGGTTCATAACATATGGGTTGCCATTTCCATTGTAGTTATAATATCCACTGGTGCCAACTGCAGTAAATGCATTGATAATTAGATGAACAGCAAGCATTTGTTTGAGAATAAGACAGCAACATGAAATGTTTAGTGCTGTGGTGAAAGGTAAAGTGCATCGAGCTACTCCTGTTAGAGCTAGAGATGTTAATCGGTAGGTTTATTCGTGGATATAAAAAAAAACTCGAGCTACGAGGGCATAAAACGTCGAAGCAAGCATTATCAAGCACACATAGATATGTAACCAATACATCTACGACAAGGATGGCAGCAAGAAGTGTGTCTTTGTTGCTAAAATTATCAAAACTCGAAATGAAATCCACCATAAACTCATCAGAGGAAAACAATGCTCTGCTAGGCATTGTACGAGGCATTAGGGCATTGCAAAAGGAGAATCAGCCCCAAAAATGCAATAAATAATAGTTTAATATTTGTGTTACACACATTACTCGCTGATAGAAATACACTGAGTAGAGAGCGAAATGGGAGGGCAAGAGAAAATGATGGAAGGAGATTATCACTAAATAACGATTGACCAATATCTCATAATACATATATGCTAGGTAAGTCACTAATAAACATATAGAGGCTACAATCTTGCAATGTGATGTGCAGCCTGATGGTAATACCATAGAAATGTGAATGTTAATGAGCAGGTTTAAGAAACCTTGCATGTATGCATCATCGTATTCATCCTCGGAGCACACAATTGAGTTCTGCACACAAGGTTTACCACCTCTATAACTAACCTAAAGGTCCCAGTCAGAAGACCATCTGATTGGGGGAAATGCCTTGTTTTCGTCAATGAAAATGAGTTGGCCAATGCACAACCAGTTCAATGCTAACATAGAACTAGGATTCAGGGAAGCATGGGATAATGTTCTTAATATATAATATGCAATATTACTGTCCAAAAGGTGGCTAGGTTGTGCTACAAACAAGACTTAATTACAGCAGAGGCAATCAACAAGCACCAGTGGGTAGGGTCAAATTCACCACACAACATCTGCCCAACATCAGCATATAACTGCATAATGGCTCTTGCATAATGGCTCAACACTGAACTCTATAACAGGGGAAGGGAACCATCATATTACCCGCGTTGCTCCCGAAGAGCTGAAGCTGCTGCGGCGCGGCCTTGGCATCGAACATGAACTGGTTCTCGTTGACGCTGGCGTTGATGTTGGCGTTGGGGCCAGGGTAGGGCGACGAGCCCCAGTTGCCGCCTCCTAACACGTGCCCCTCCATCGCCGTATCCTTCCCCTGCAAATACCGCAGCGAGTCTGAGAGATACGCGGTTCTCACCACGATCGAGAAATCGGAACGGAAACGAGAAGGGGATTCAAACGGAAACATTACCGGAAATGGTTCCTGCCGTGCCAGGAAGCAGGGGGGGCGGCGGATTGTACCCCCGGACGACGAAGGCGGCCTCCGATCAGGGCCCGAACCCGATCCCGAGGCGAATCGAAACCCTAGCGGCTGTTCCGCCGAAATCGGGGGAGGCGCGGGGGGCGGCGAAATCTGCGGCGCGATTCGGGCGCGTGTGGAGGGGAGGGGAGGGGACGGGAACGGAGACGGAGAAGGGGCGGAGCTTCCCGGTGGTGGTGGCGTCGCCGCCGATGCCGCCGCGGATTGGATTGGGGAATGCGGGCGAGAGAGGGCGGAGAGCGTTGGGAACTCCGCGATTTATTTGGTGGATTCTGTTTTATTTTTTATCGGTTTATTAAGGGGCGAAAATGGGAAGGGGAGGAAGAAGAAGAGAAGGGGTGTGGTGGACAGCCCACCTCACTGCCTGTTATTGGGCCTGGCGTGGCCCGGTGGGATTACGCAGGCCCTTCTGTCAAATATTTAGTTCAATATACGGCCCGCTGCTGCTGCCATCTGAGAAATTTAGGTACTCTGGCCTTCGGCTGTGATTTTGGCGCTGAGACGTGGAGCAATCTCGGATCTTCAAGACCTTTATATTTTTCGTCATCGTCTACTGATCATGTGGTGGGCCTTGGAAAAACACAAAGTCCCAGCAAAGTACATTACCTTCATCAAGGACATGTACGATAATATTGTGACAAGTGTTCGAACAAGTGATGTCGACACTGATGACTTCCTGATTAAGATAGGACTGCATCAAGGGTCAGCTTTGATCCCTTATCTTTTTGCATTGGTGATGGATGAGGTCACAAGGGATATACAAGGAGATATCCCATGGTGTGTGCTCTTTGCGGATGATGTGGTGCTAGTTGACGATAGTCGGACGGGGGTAAATAGGAAGTTAGAGTTATGAAGACAAACCTTGGAATCGAAAGGGTTTAGACTTAGTAGAACTAAAACCGAGTACATGATGTGCGGTTTTGGTACTACTAGGTGTGAGGAGGAGGTTAGCCTTGATGGCCAAGTGGTACCTCAGAAGGACACCTTTCGGTATTTGGGGTCAATGCTGCAGGAGGATGGAGGTATTGATGAAGATGTGAATCATCGAATCAAAACCGGATGGATGAAGTGGCGCCAAGCTTCTGGCATTCTCTGTGTCAAGAGAGTGCCACAAAAGCTAAAAGGCAAGTTCTACAGGACGACGGTTCGACCCGCAATGTTGTATGGCGCTGAGTGTTGGCCGACTAAAAGGCGACATGTTCAACAGTTAGGTGTGGCGGAGATGCGTATGTTGAGATGGATGTGTGGCCACATGAGGAAGGATCGAGTCCGGAATGATGATATACGAGATAGAGTTGGGGCAGCACCAATTGAAGAGAAGCTTGTCCAACATCGTCTGAGATGGTTTGGGCATATTCAGCGCAGGCCCCCAGAAGCTCCGGTGCATAGTGGACGGCTAAAGCGTGCGGAGAATGTCAAAAAAGGGTGGGGTAGACCGAATTTGACATGGGAGGAGTCCGTTAAGAGAGACCTGAAGGATTGAAGTATCACCAAAGAGCTAGCTATGGACAGGGGTGCGTGGAAGTTTGCTATCCATGTGCCAGAGCCATGAGTTGGTTGCGAGATTTTATGAGTTTCACCTCTAGCCTATCCCAACTTGTTTGAGACTAAAGGCTTTGTTGTTGTTGTTGTTGTTGTTGTTGTTGTTGTTGTTGTTGTTGTTGTTGTTGTTGTTGTTGTTGTTGTTGTTGTTGTTGTTGTTGTTGTTGTTGTTGTTGCTGATCATCATAGTTTTGTGAGAATAAATTTACTCTCGTTCTTTTGACGGTGCCATGAGGTTAGAGAGTTTTCTGTCCTCACACATCTGATGATTTTATGTTGTTGCGTCAAGCCTTTTTTGTTGATCTGATTTTTTGTGGGGGTGAAATCTTTTATTAACAACATGGTGAAGATATAATGATTTGATAGCTTACATTTGGGGATCATCCCCGGTCAAGTACGTTCATCGATCAAGGCTTCTCATCTTTTTGGATGGCGACTCAAGGCGCTTTCAAAAAACTTTATTGGTAATGTTCGTGCGGGTGAAAGAGTGACAACACCGTTGTTCCAATCCAATTGCAATTTCTTTACCGAAGTCTTTGGAGTATTTCTTCGAGCAGAGGTTGACATCGTGAAGAAGGTGTTTACAAGAAATTTTATTGTAATTCTTAGTCATAGAAATTACTTTGTATTTTCTTGAATCTTAGTTCTAAATCAGCGTACCTGTAATTGTTATGAGTACAAATAAAGTTACAGGTGTTTCTTAAAAAAATACAAACTGCTTTAGGACTAGTTCGGTTCCAAGGAAATTCAAGGGGGTTGAACGGGATCGGAAGGGATTAAATCTTCAACAAGTCAAAATCCACCTTAATTCCCAATCCTCTCCAATCCTCCCTCGTGGTGGGGATTAACCGAACAAGCCATTACCGAGGTTATATTCGAGAATGGAGCGTCAGAGCTATATGTTGCCCGTACCAATTACTGATATATTTTTGAGGCAAACCAATTATTTTTTAAGACAAAGGCAAAATAATTCCTAATATGTCTCACCTTTTGCGCCCGGCGCTGCTTTGTGGGCCGTCCCAGTAAGGGACGCGTTGAGGAGCGGCTCTGCATCAGTCTTTTCTTTGGTTGTAGTTTTTTTTCTCCATTTTTTCTTTTTTCATCCTTTTTTTGGTTTCTTTATTCATTTTTATTTGGTTTTAACGCCTAAGTTAGCTTGCACTTGTTTGCTCAGGTGACGAAGCAACGATCCCTGGACATTATATAAATAGTAAATGTATTGGTTACATTATATAAATCAGGGTTTCTCTTTCCCTCTCGACTATGGCGGCTAGGGCACTCATCCCCTTCAAACTTCGTCAGGCAAGTCTGTGGATCCACCTCCCCTCTATTTGCGGCTCACTGCCGGTGGCGGGGAGGGGGGTCCCGATGCCTTGCCTTCGGCTAGTAGTTTAGGTTAGGGATGTTTTTCCTCGCAAGGCGGTGTTCAGGGCAGATGGCGACTCTGCATCTTCAACCCAATCTTCCGGGCTCTGATCATCCTTGAGTTTGTTCATCGAGATCAAGTCGACGGAGCTCCGGCATAAATACATGCCATCTCATTGGGACAATGAGGTTAGGATTCTCGCTGTGTGTGCGCACAAGCAAGATTTGATGTCACCCGCTTCAGGTCGTTTCAAGGGTTTAATGACAACGATTGCGGCTCAAGGGCGCTGGTCTTTAGGGGCACGTGCAAGAAGACTTCCCGACTGTAACCGGCAATGTCAAGCTGGCTTTGGTATGGGAGCGGTGACAGTGGCGTGTCGGCTGCTTGTCCAGGTTGTGGCAATGGTCATTGATGGTGCAAATTTCTCATTGTAGTTTTTGTTATATTTAGGGTGTGAATCTTTATAATAGATCTGGGAGTTATTCCATAAAAATTTCACATTTGGATGATTTTCCCCTTTCCGTTGTTTTCTCATCTCTCCTCTTTTAATTTTCCTTCTCCTTTTTATTGGTTTCTTTCTTTTTCTTTTTTCCTATTTTCTCACTTTACTTTTGACATATTGAACATTTAAAAAAATACATGGTTACTATTTTTTACCCACGAACATTCATTTGGCATACATGAACATTTTTCAATTACACAAGGAATCCTTATAAAATACATGATGGATATATCTTTAATATATGATGATTTTTAAAATATATACTGAAAATTTTGTTAATATATAACAGACATTTTTAATGCACATTTTTTAAATACTCGATGAAATTTTTTAATGCCCGATGAACATTTTTAACACCCAACATACATTTTTGAATAACATGACAAATACTTATAAATTCTTGATCAATATTTTTTAAATGCACACGAAATATTTTTGAATACCCGATGAACATTTTTTTTAAATGCACATTGAACATTTCTAATACACTAGTTAATTGCCCCTGCATTGCAACGGGGGCATGCATATTCTAATGATTCAACACTGATCGTGGCGGACATATACCTTACACCCACTATATTCTAGATTTTTGTTAAGATTTGATTTGAGTACGTGTAGGGGAAGGCAAGGAAAATTTTAATTTAGTTGAGGTGTTGATATGATATGATATGATTTGGGTAGTTGGGGAGGGCAAGTAAAGTTTTGATTTAGTTGGTGTTTTGGTAAGATTTGATTTAATTTCATTGAGTTAATGCAAAACATGATTTTGGTTGGATTTGATTGAGTCAATGCAGAACATGGTTTCCAGTAAGATAAGGAAAGGAAAGTACCAATTTAATTTATACTATCCCAAACCAAGGAGGGGGCGCATGTAGAGGAAAAGGCCAACTTAGAGTAAAGGTGATGAGATGAGAAGAATGTACCAAGTGGACGTGGAGTTTCTACACCTGAGCTCATATGCTCCTGTTGTGAATAGTAGAATAAATAAAATAGAAAACATTTCAAAAGGTTCTGAATTTTTTTGTGGCATACTTTAAGAAATGTTTGTTGTGCATGCAAAATTTCATCACGAAATGACATTGGTGGGAGGCATGGTAAAAAACCAAAATTGATGCTCTGAAAATGTTACTTTCAAACGCATTTTGGAGCTCTGATTTTGTTTTTTTTCACGACTTCCATCAATTTGTGATTTTGTGATGAAATTGTGCATGCACAACAGACATTTCTTAAAGTATGCCATAAAAATTTCATAATTTTTTGAGATGTTTTTCTATTTTATTTATTTTACTGTTCACACCAGAGCATATGAGCTCATGTGTAGAAAGGTACTTTCGGTACCAAGTCCTGTTAAGTAGTAGTAGGGATGTAGAGAGAATTGAGATATGGTATCTTGAGACCTTTCCTAGCGAGGAGGTATGCATGAGGGAAAAGATTTTTTGCCAGATAAGACCACTTATACATTCATATTGCCAGAAAAGACCACACCCGAATCGTATTGACAAAAAAGACCATGTACAT